ATAATGTCATATTCATTATTCAATAATTAGATTCATATTTTTGATTCGAAAATACAAAAAAGCAAGAGTTTTAGGCGCAAACATACGTGTATATGAGATATTAGAACAGTACACTATGTTCCACATTATTTTATTTTATTTTTTTCTGAATTATTGCTTCAAACGTAATAAGTAGGGCTCAGATGTTGTTGACCTTAAACACATATGGTCGATAAGATATAATAAAAAATGAACTAGTGTGAAATCAGTAAAAATTACTAAAAATGTGGAAAAATTACCTAAAAATGTAAAAAAAAATGACTTTAAATGTAACAAACACCAAGAAAATGCAAAAAAAAAAAAAATAAAAATAAAAATTAATTATTTGAATTCACATGTTAATGAAATAAATTTGTGGTCAGAATAGCATCTTATAAAAAGTTCGAATGCAAAATGCATCAACTTCCGAGCCCTAATAATAAGAAAAAACTAATATTTTATCCAGGATGTGTGATTAAATGTGCATTTACAAAAAATACCTTGAAAACAATAGTAATCCAATTCTACTAATTCTAATTTACTACATATATTTCAACTGTACAACATAATTATTCAGTTCAGTTCTATGTTATACAAGTATTTGTATTTTTTTTCATTATTGTATAAAAAAATAACGGCCGAAACATTCATGACCGTCCCATAATTTGAATGGTCCCCGAGAATTTTTTCGGTAGTCCACCGGCTTAATACTCTTCTGTATAATAGCAATTTTATCGTTTTAATATGTTTGTATTTTGGAAATTATAGTTTCCAATAGAACTTTCCATATTAGGTTTTATATAGAACATGATTTCGTGAATAATTAATTGTAATCATAAATTTTATCTTGATAGACGTACAATAATTGTAAAATAATTTTAATTATTAAATCCACATTTTCAAAAACTAAAAATTCATAATTTATCAATGATTAAACTTTACCAAGTTATCTAAAAACTATATATTTCTAAATATTCGATTTACAAAATGGCTTTCGTGGATTCCTTCAAACTGTAGAATAAAATTTAAATTTTAAAATTTAAGTTCTAAAATCAAAAATATATTTTAATACAAATTCGTTATAGCGTAAGACCTGAGTACCTATTTATTTATTAAAAACAAAAAAAAAAAAAAATAATAACAATAAACAGAACGAAATTTATTCGATTTATCGAATCATTCTAGGGCATCCTGTATATATATATATATATATATATATATATATATATATATAT